AAAAAAAAAAAAGAGAAAGAATCTTGAATAGCATACTTACTGCATGTATCTTTGTGAAAAATCCAGAGTTGTTGGTGGACTTCTCAGTGCATATGATCTATCGGGAGATAAAGTTTTCCTTGACAAGGCTAAAGAAATTGCTGATAGGCTGTTGCCTGCTTGGGATACTCCCTCTGGTATTCCATTTAATATTATAAACTTGGCTAATGGGAATGCGCATAATCCTGGCTGGACTGGGGTAAATTTGTCATCATCAAATTAGGAACCTTGTACTACTGTTTAGTTGCAGGGGTGCCTTTAATCTCATGACTCATGTGTTTTCTTGTTTAGGGTGAGAGCATCTTGGCAGATTCTGCCACAGAGCAGATTGAATTCATTGCGCTTTCCCAACGAACCGGTGATCCCAAATATCAGCAAGTGGTATTCTCTTTGCCTCCACTTGATACTTAAGTTAGACATATATGAATAGGGCTGCAAACAAGCCGAGTCGAGTCGAGCATTGTCCTTATCGAGCAAGATTTATTTATTTTTTACCTGCTCGAGCTTGATTTATGACGCTCGAGATTGACTCGACGAAAGAAGAAAATTGCTCAAGATCGATTGAAATCAAAATGCTTGAAAGATCGCTCGAGCTCGGCTCGAGTTCGACTCGAATTTCAAGTATAATTACCATTAAGTACATATATAAATATTGTACTATTTATATATATAGGGTAGTTTGGTAATTCACTATCTCAAGCGGCTCGACCTTCCAAACCTATGCTCGAGATAGACTCGATAACATGCTCTAGCCGCTCGAGCTTGACTCGAGTTCGCTCAAACTCGAGCTCGAGCGCTCACGAGCCGCTCGATTCGTTTGCACCCCTATTTATGAATAAAGGAATCGGAAAGAAATTTCATCCGAAACATATCAAATGACGAATATGTACTCTTTTGAATGTGGCTTATAATTATATGTGGAATTTGGAGATATCGACAACCGAGAGTCCACTTTCCTGTAAACTTGCGAGCTTTCTCTCTTCCCTACATGAAGTTAATCCCGTATGTTTATTCTCAGGTGGAAAATGTCATTATAGAGCTTAATAAAACCTTTCCATCTGATGGCTTGCTTCCCATCTACATTAATCCGCACAAAGGGACAAGATCATATTCAACGATAACTTTTGGAGCCATGGGGGACAGGTCTTTTTTTCATTTTACATAAGACTGTCTTATGATCTTCTCTGCCTGTATATATTGTGAAATTATCTGTAACATGAATTAACTCCGGTATTTAACATTCGGAAATAACGTGCAGCTTCTATGAGTACTTGCTCAAGGTCTGGATACAAGGAAACAAAACCACTGCAGTGAAGCATTATAGGTATATGTCTCGTGTTCCTTCTTTGCCATCTTGTGATTTCACTCATGTAAATACATGAAAATATTTTCCGTCCTTTTATTTTATCTTTCTGATTGTAATAAACAACTATTTTACGTATTCCGAAACAGGGACATGTGGGAGACATCCATGAAAGGTCTTCTTAGCTTGGTGCGGAGAACTACCCCATCTTCTTTTACTTATCTCTGTGAGAAGATTGGAACTTCGTTAACTGATAAGGTGTGTTATCCTTTTTGGTCAGTAATTACACTAAGCATTTGAAATCCTGAGAAGAACTCACATCATAAAAAGAAACTGAAAATAAACAAAAAGTTTTTTGAAAAACTGCACAAAAACTAAAACCATACTTGAGTTTGAAAAAGTAAAGAATACGAGATAAAATAAAATTTTGAAGATTTATAATATGAAAATAATAGAATGTTCGACTTTTTGGAAATGCATTGTGGCGTTATTCAAATTTTGTTATATAATTTGTGTGTTTCTTCTGGCATCGTGCAAATAATGGACTAGATCAAAATGGCTCAATTAAATTCTAGTGCTTCTTCTATTAGTGAAGTTTCTAGAAAAAATATATCAAACGACGCAACGCACCTTGGGTCGCTATGGAAACAGCCTCCTTGTATAATTACAAGGGTAAGGTCTGCGTACAACTGACCCCCCAGACCCCAACCTGTTTGGGAATATACTGGGTATGTTGATGTTGATGTATGATGTTGAATTTGTGTGTTTCTTACAAGTTGCTATCGTTTATTACATGCTTGCAGATGGATGAACTTGCTTGTTTTGCTCCAGGAATGATAGCATTGGGATCTACCGACTATGGTCCTGATGAATCTAAGAAATTCTTATCTCTGGCTGAGGAGGTTTTTATACATGATTCTTCATTTTAGCTTTTCTAGTTTATGTGCCTGTTTAGTGGATAATTTGAATTGTTTCTGCAGCTAGCATGGACCTGCTATAATTTCTACCAGTCCACACCAACAAAATTGGCTGGAGAAAACTACTTTTTTAATTCAGGACAGGTGGGCGTGCTCATTGTTTGCCGTATATATTCAGGACATGTACCCCTTGGATGTAAACCAAGTTGTTAACCAAGGGGTACAAGTAGCATTATTCTATTTAAAAACCCTAGATTATAGCATTTATAACAACAAAAAAGTTTCTTTTCCTTTGCGCACCTCATCTAATTACTGTTCAGGATATGAGTGTTGGAACATCGTGGAACATATTGAGGCCAGAGACAATCGAGTCACTCTTTTATTTGTGGCGTTTGACTGGAAACGAGACGTATAAAGAGTGGGGCTGGAATATTTTCCAAGCGTTTGAGAAAAACTCCCGCGTAGAATCGGGATATGTTGGACTAAAGGATGTAAGAACTTCTCAGCTTCTGAATCGTTTATATTGTTTCATAGTATGAAAAAGTTATATAATTTTATTTTTCTTTTGCTTTTTTTTTGTGTGTGTGTGTGTGTGTGTGTATGTGCGTGTGTGTGTGTTTGATACATTTCTAGATCACAGTAGCATATGTTACTATAACTAAATAGTAGTATTAGGTAATTAGTTATATTAGTAATGTCATCTAGCTTGTGAATATGTAAACATTGACTTTATTGGGATAACAAATGAAATGAATTGTCTTATAGTTTCTCTCTATAGCCTCAAGTCTCTTTTTCTCCAATTCTACTTTCGGAAATTTTACTTTATAGGGAAGTATCTTATCGTGATACGATGCCCCCGGTTCTGTCATTGGTAATGATAATCAACTTTTATTATTTATTTATTTATTTATTATTTTAATATCAAGAAAGCACCAATGATACAACCAAGACGAATCATATTGAGCTAAGACACTTGAACTTCAAAGAGAAAATGGGCTGGACTAGAGTCTAGAGATAAATTAGTAGACAATTCATTTCGTTCGTCTATTATCTCAATAGCCACGAATCAATGGCCTGGATATTTTTTTAGGGTAGAAAATTACTACTTACCATAGAACTATTTATTTATTAGTAACATATATATACTACTTAATCCTAGTTGGTGTATCAATGTATTTCTTTCTTTCTCTCGAGAACCCCAACTCATTTATAGTGGCAGCATATATTAATATATCGTTTTCCATCTTTGTGTCTCAGGTGAACACTGGTGTGAAAGACAACATGATGCAGAGCTTTTTCCTGGCAGAGACACTGAAATATCTATACCTCATGTTTTCACCCCCTTCGGTTATTTCCCTTGATGAATGGGTTTTTAACACAGAGGCACACCCTATAAAAATCGTGACCCGCCATGACCAAGTGAATACATTGGGAAGGTCAAGTGGAAAACAGATCGAAATTCGATCACGTACCAGGAAAGAAGGCCGGTTTAATGGCCACTAACGAAAAAAAAAACAAAACTTAGAATTATTTGTATCATTAGATATATGTTACGTTAATCTTGAGGGCCTAGAAATAGAAAAAATCGAGGAGAGCTTGAAGAAGCAGAATTGTTATACGGGCTCGTGCAGGTTTCTTGGGTGATTCTGACTGTTGAACTCCTGAACATCCTTTTTATTTGTAACATTAGCATATATGAGTAAATCTGAACTGTTTACTGAGTTTCGTATACGGTTTTGTACTTTTAGGTGCAGAATTTGTTTTGGTGAAATATACAGTCTTGGCTTGAGTTTGTGGTTTTCTGAATGGACAGTTCTGCAGAATGCAGATGAGAGTGTTCTATTATTGTTAAACTATTGAAGTCTTGTGGTATTTGGGATTTGTATTTGCAACTGCTCTGGTGGAGTTTATGCAGTATTTGGCTAACTTTAGCATTTGTGTGTATAATGAAATTTTGGTTTTGGGAATTTATAGTTGATAATTGATCTACATTTTAATAATGGAAGAGAAGAGATTGGTATTAATTTGACAGATGATAAATATTTATATTGAAACAGTCACTAGTAAGGACATTGAAAATAATTTGTGTATTACATTATTTTTTTTATTTTTTTTGCTGAAATGTAAGTTAAAAGCAAAATATAATCATAAGCTTTAAGAATAATATTAGAAGTAATACAAGTTTTTAAGAATAATATTTAAGTAATTTAAAACTATTATATACAATCTTTGAAGTTCACCAAAAATAGAGATGTAAAGGGGTCGGGTCGAGTACATGTTTTGTCAAACCCGAACCCGACCACCATACAATTTACCCTACCCAAACCCAACCAGTTATTCGGTTAGTGATCTTCGGGTTTGGATTGGGTTTTACCCGAAGGGTAAGTTGGTTTTCGTCGGGTAAACGAGTAATCCAAGTCTCAAATTTGGGCTTTACCCGACTCATCTTGTTTCATATGAAAAAATAAAATAAAATAATTTTACAATTCATTATAATGTAACAAATAAATTTTTAATTAAGTTTGACAATAAAAATTCTAAAAATATTATATTATATTTGCAATAAATAATGACATATAATTATTTGTATTTTATAGTCTATTAATAATATAACATTTAAAAATTAAGTATTTAATTTTTTTATTGTACAATTACCAAAAAATGATAATAAAATCATAAAAAATAAAATAAAATTTAAACATTAATAAAAAATATTATAGATAATCTAATTTTTTAAAATAACATATGACTACTTTTATATTTACAATAGTTATAAATATATAATATGTATGCATATATATAAGATTCAATGGTTGGGTGAACGGGTAGGGTAATCGGGTCGAGTAATGAGTTTTTTACTATATCTGCACCTGACCCGACCCGGGATTTGGATAGCATAATTCTACCCGACCCGACTCGAAACCCAATCATCTCGAGTTTACCCGACCGAAAATGCGGGTACCCGCAGATAACCCGACCCTACAAGTTTTATTGACATCCCTAACCAAAAATGTTAAATTGAATTTGTAATGATAGTTTTTATGTGAAAAGATATGACTGTAGTATTAATCAAAATGTGTAATTTTCATTTCTGAAGCTAATCAAGATAACAAATAGTTATCATTTAAATTAAAACTAAACCTAATACAAGTGTACAACACATACAAGATATATTATTTAAACCATTTTGTTCCCCTTTCCTATTAACAATAATATATTATAAATTCAACACAATTTTAGAAGTTACATTTCTCTCTCTCGCTCGTTTTTTTTTTCATAAAATAAGTTTTTGTGGCCGGGTGGCTGCCGCGCGTGGCCGAGTTGGAGCCTACGTCCATGTCACTCGTTTGATTCATTGGAATCCGCCGACATCGACATCGGGGTGGATTAAGGTTAATACGGTGCTAGCAAGAGCACCAAGGGCCTAAGTAGCGCGGGTGGACTTCTTCGTGATGAGTGTGGCAGATGTATTGACGGGTTCTTTATGAATATTGGGTATTGAACCATTACGGGAGCCGAACTATGAGGCCTTTTCTAGAGGCTTCAATTAGCGTGGGAGCTGGGGTTTCGAGGAGTTATCGCCGAGGTTGATAGCGAATGTGTAATGAAGATGGTCCTTGGACTTGCAGACAACTTTATGGCTCATGCATCTCTTGTCGGGGCTATACGTAGCTTGGCACAGCGGAATTGAAGTCTTCGGATTCAACATGTGCATAGGGAGACTAATTTCACTCGGGTTGCAAAGAACTTCGTCTCTGTCGTTTGGGATGGGAGCATGGCTGGGATCATGACATTATTGGGGTATCTTACTCTCACCAAGTTCTCACCTAGTATTTCCGAAGGCCTCCGACTTCCTTTATTGTACCCAACACAAAAAAAATAATAATAATAATAATAATAATAATAATAATAATAATAATAATAAATCACTATCACGAGCCCGGCGAATATTCTTTGCTTCATTGAAAACTAAAATCCTTTCAACAACCACTACAAGCTCAAACCACCGCTTTCCGCCGCCCGCAGGCGAATTCTAGCTGCCGCCACCACCGCACTGCAGAACCCTAAAACGGCCCTTTTCTCCTGAGCTTCAAAACGAGAAACGAAGATAAGTTACTGATACCCTGTACTGATTTGTACAGGCTGATCGTTGGGTTATCATAGCTCACATCATTTTCAACAGTAATGCAAACGGTGGCTCGCATTCTCTCTCGCCTTCGCCATGGCCGGCACCAGTATTCCCCATCAGCTGCTCTATTTCTGAATTAATGCCATACTGAATTAAGCCATGGCAGCTTGCCATGGCTTAATTCTTCGTCGAGATGGGTTCCCCCGTCTAACTTGATTTTGCCTTGTTGTAGTAATCATCATCAGCTCCACTGCACAAGAAGTGATTTTTATTTTCTGTCCTTATTTCTTTTATCGGGTTGAGGGGTGTGACAGAGATAAACTAAGTGTGATAGTTGTTGGTGTGCTGTAACAATTTGGTGGGTGTTTGCAGGTCTTCCGACCAGAGCTAAAAAGATTGAGAAGATTGAAGTGGAGGATCATGGGTATTTTTTTTTTTTTTTTTTTTTTTTTTTTTTTTTTTTGTGTGTGTGTGATTCAACTTCTTTTCGTTGTTCTTCGGCTTCTGTGTCTTTTTCCTTCCAAAAATGATGGATTACAGTGTGCCCTTCAGTTTGATTGGGAAAGGCAATGACACTATGCATAAGTTCCTATTTTCACTTCTCACATCTTTCTAGTTTTGTGTTAAGCTATTATATGAAGTATCTTTCTTAACTGGTTATTCTCTGTACTTGTTTTCCTCTGTAGCTAATAATATCTGTATTTAGCCAGAGAGCAGTCACAACAGCATTGTGGTGCAATTTCCTTGTTTTTTCTCTTAAATTTGGCGTGTGGTTATCGACCTCAAGCCATGTAATGTTGGCTGAAGTTGTGCATTCAGTGGCAGATTTTGCAAATCAGGTATTTTGTGTTCTGTTTGTATACTTGCTGGACTAGACACTAATGTTGCTGGAAATTACCCCTTCTCAAAGTTTATCATGCATTTAATTTGACTAATGCTTATTCTGTAGGCTCTACTCGCATATGGCTTAAGTAGTTCACGCCGTGCCCCAGATGCTCTTCATCCGTATGTTCTCTGTCAATACTTATATAATGTATATAATTACCAGTTAAGGAAATGTGTTCTTAGCTTTCATGTGTAGACTGCTTGACTTATAGGACTCTGAAATCCACGTTGACATCAAAGTATTAGTTCAAAATTTGTTTTAAGAAGCTTCCAATTTTGCTTCATGATGGCACAACAAGAGCAAGTAAAAACTGCTTAACTATGCTAATCTGTAAATGGGATATCCCTCCCTATATATAAATGTAGAGTTTCTCGAGCCTAGGTGTCAACTTTTGGTGTTTCATATTCCTGTGTGTCGATTCTAGTGATTCGTTATCCTGCCTCTATCAATTTCTGGTGCATAAGTAATAATGCAACTTTTTAAGAAGTATTTGAAATTAAAAAAAAAAAAAGCTTCTGCGTTTCTCTTTTTTTTTTATACTAGTAAATTGAACGTGCGATGCACGTGGTGACAAGTGTTTTTGGCCGATTAAGTTTAGTAAGATAAATTAATTGATTTATTAAACATATGATTGTAGGAACAAATAAACTTCTAATGTTTTTTTTTTCAAGAATAACATAATGATGTCGTAATATAAAAAGATTTAAATAACATATTACAATTCGAAAAAAAATATATGAAAAATGAGTCCCTAATAAAACAAATAGCCATAAATAATTAAATAATGACATAATGTATGTTATAGATGCATCGCATGAGTCAGTACGGTTCGAAGATAGATATATCTCCAGAACCGTACCAAAATTTGGAGATCATTAAAATTCGATCTCCGGAACCGTACTAAAAATTCGGTTCGGTTCGGTTCAGCTCGGAAATTTTTATTTTTCAGTTCAGTTCGGTTCGGTTTGGTATTCGGGACGGTTCGGTTCCGTTTAATTCGGTTCAGATATTCAGAGATTTCTAATTATTTTTTAAACATTTTTTGAATGACTACCTAGTTATATTTTATTTTTTATATGTTTTTTAATCCAACATTTATCAATACTTCATCATATGAAAGATTTTATTTTTAAATCAACTTTAGAAGTAACTCTAAATTTTAGTTAAGACTAAATTTGTGCAGCTAACATTGAAAATTTAAAATTCAAATAAAATATAATATAGTTTTTTTTATTAAAGTAATATTTATTTAACCTTGCATACCATGTTAGTTTATAAGATAGAATGAGACCAAGTATCGAGAAATTTAAGTAAAGTTAAAATATTTTCTAAAAAAATATTTCTTTAACTTTTCATTCAATTTTATATATTTTCTTTTTAAACATAAAAAAATCAATAATATATCAAATATTACTAAGCATAAAATTTAAATGAAGCTTAATTGTTATTACTATAATTTATTTACATTTAAAAAATTTTCAAATTATATAGGATCAAAGTTGACATAAAATATATTAATAACACACATCTATTTTTATAATTTGGTTCTTATCATCAGTTCGGTTCGGTTCTCGAGATTGATATTTGTAAAATCTCCAGAACCATACGAATTATTCTTTCGGTTCAGTTCGGTTCAGTTCGGAGAAAATCAAACGGTCAATGGTTATTTTTCGGTTCGAAGTGATTTTGGTTCGGTTTCGGAACAACTCGAAATTTTCCAAATCTCATGCTCAGCCCTAGATGCATAAGTTCTTTTGTTTATTTATGTTAGATTCAGGAGTGATTATCTGTCACCGTGGTTTTGACGTTCTCATAAGAAACATTCGTACTCGTTGAAGTCAATACATCAATACTATTGCAAAATTCTTAATTAATTTTGCGACACGTTTGCTTTATTCATTACATAGAAATATCTTAGCCTAACATATGGTCAAACTTTATTATTGTATGATACAATTATAAGGTACTTCTACTAACGGTTCATAATATCTATGTGAAATAACTAATTGTGTCATTAAAATTCTTGATATGTTTTTATCCTTATATAAACTACTACATTAATCTCTCTCTGTGTGTGTGTGTGAGTGTGTGTGCGCGCGCATATTAACAAATTAATTGGTACATACCCCATGGGGTGGAAACGAATTTCAGCCTCCAAATAAAAGTTAACATTCCAAAATTATGTATTTTTCTGGGGACAATAAATTATTTTTTTAAAATCATCACACATTACATGAAAGTACATACTCTAAAGTAATTGTGCATATTATCGAGCAAAATACACAATTAAGATTGTAAATATTACTATAAAAACACGACATCTTATTCAAACATTCAAAAAGGTTATTGATCAGAATCAAACATTCCCTTTTCAATGTTATTTATTTGGAAGATAAACTAACTACATAACCTATTATTTGCAAATCATTAAATATTTTGGTTGTTGCATTGATTTTAGAGTTGTTTATCATAATACCTTTCACATTCATTCTGATTTGCAATATTTATGTGTCTAATTACTTGTTTAATGCATTTATTGTCCAACTTTTTACATCATACATAATGATTCGAAAATCCAAGATAAATTTTTTTCATGATTGTTCAATGTAATAATAATACAAAAATGAGACAATATTGAGAAACATATCATTTGTCAAAATATTTTAGATGAGAAGAATTTGAATTCTTATATATTATGATACTCTTAGTTATCTGTAAACTTTATTATTATGAAGTCCTTATTAAAGTTTATGATCTGTATTATATAATATGGAATCATAATTAATGAGAACCAATTTCTTATAGAGAACAATATTAAATGCTACCAACAAAAAAAAAGTAGTAATTTTAAAAGAAATTTGTTTCTTGATATTGGTATTCATACTTTTCTAAGAAAATTCAATTTTTTTTTCTTTTCCCCATTGCATTACTATTTTATTTTTTATTTTATTTACAAATAATATTTTATTTTTTGAAAGAATTAGAGCATATTCATATGCATTTCGTTTTTCTTTTACGTGTTTGATAATACTAATATATTTTATAACAATTTGTTTTTATTATATTTATAAGATTAAAAAGTTTTGGATTTTTTCCATGGTTTGATAAAATATTAAGTAACTAACTCATTTCTATATTCATAAAAACTATTTTTTACAACCACTACGGTGTTCCCTATCAAGTAGTAATTGCTAATAGTTTAACATACAACTTGTTTATTTTTTTCTTTTAATTCACATAATTAATATCGGTAATAGTTATACATTTACATGCATTTGCACTTATTTTTCTTAGTATGAATATTTTAAATTTATTTAAGAAAACTATACCACAAGTTTATCTAATATTTTTTGATAATTAATAAAATTGAGTTAAAACGGATCTATAATTTATTTTATAAGATACTTATAGGTCCATTTACTATTTTAAATTGGTATTGATAGATATATATATTTTATTTTATATCGATAGAAATAATTGTATTATTTTTATTTATACAACACAATGTTCAAATCAAACATTATTGAAAAGAAATGATGTGATATATTACATATATAAGAGTAACAAATTAAAAAATTACAAAGTATTTCAAAATTTAAAAATTTACTGGTAAAAAATAAATAAATTTTTAACTAAAAAAATTAAGACTCATATAATGATTTCTAATACAAAAAACTAATTATAATATATATATATATATATGTGTGTGTGTGTGTGTGTGTATGTGTGTGCATTTTAAGTACGTTTTACATTTACCATTCGCCAGTTCTAATTGATATTACACCTTTATTAATTTTATCATTTTTACTTTTGGATGAAATGCGAGCTTATAATTTTTCATTGTGTAATGTTACCTTTTTATTAGGTAAAACATCATTCTTACCCCTTGTGTAATTATATATATATATATAACTAATTTGGTGAAAAATGCATAAAGTTAAGTATAGAACTTTTTGAGTAGTATGTCTTATTTTATATCAATTAATTGTACATCTTTGTATTATATTATATATATAACTACAAGTTTTTCATTAATATTATATTCAAATATAAAAAGTTTTTATTCCGTATTTTTTCTTTGATAAAATATTGCCTTATTAGAATAATGCAGATTGATAGATATATAGATGAGTAATGATAATATATCGATATAATTTATTGCTAAAAAATAATTAGTTTTCAACATATATAGGAATCATGATTGTCTAGATATTGTTAATTAATTTATATGATCTAAGTTAAATCATGTTGTGCTCAAACGGTATTTCATTCGACATGAAAATAAATAAATTGGGCTTTAGTATTATACAATTTCATAAAATTGTTCTAATCTTATTTTAAGCAAGAAATTGAGTAGATTAAATGTTTAATCTACAAAACAAGCATTCAATAATTAAACTTTCATACTATTACACAATTTACTCTCTTTTTTATAGGTTATTTGGAAAAAAAATAAAAATAAAAAATGTTTCTATACTTTATGGACATTATGAGAACAAACATTATCGATGTCAATTTTTCTACTTATAGTTGTTAATAATAGATTAATAATGGTAATCTATGATATAAATTATTGGTAAAATTAATTAATTTTCAGCGTAGATAGGCATATCATAAATCTCTAGATATCTTAATTAATTCATGGATAATGGTATGGTTAAAATTAAATCATGCTACTCAAGTAGTATCCTACTCTACATGACAACAAAAGGATTGGGTTTTAGTATTATATATAATTTCATAAAATTATTTTAATATTATTTTAAATAAAGAAATTGAGTACATTAGAACTTTAGGTTTGAAAGCATATATTCAAAAAAATAATTATTCTCATACTATTACCCGACAAAGTAAGGTTAATTTAGGCAAAACACTTGAGGGTGCAACGCGTATTTCGGAGGGCGCGTGGGGAAAGTGAAGGACCCTTACGGCAACGGGATTAGAAAAACAAATTCATATACAATGAGTAGAAAATTACATATTTGACATTACAAAAATGAACCTTACTGTATTATTGTTATTAGGACTGTATTATTATTATTAAATTACAATATTTATTTGACAAAGTATGGTTAATTTAGGCAAAACATATTTTTACAGATTCATTGACTCTTTTATAATAGTATAGATATATATATATATAGGTATAAATTTTTGAATTAGCACCTGTGTAACGATGTTATTCGTATGCAATAATACTAGCACTTATATTATTACCATAGTTTAATTTATTAAGAGATTGCTTAAATAGCTTCTGTACTCTACGCGACAAAATAACATCCTTGAGTGCTGAGACATGTAATGACGTGGCTGATTGGTGAAATTATACTAAATTTGTTGTTCATATGATCTCAGATATGGTTATTCCAAGGAGAGATTTGTCTGGTCTTTGATTTCTGCTGTTGGTATATTTTGTTTTGGTTCCGGTGCTACTATTGTCCACGGTATTCAAAATCTGTGGACTTCTCAGGTAGAAAACTGCTAAAGTTAATTATGGAAACTCTAAAAGTTTACATTCACAATTTCAATACAGCATTACCATCTTTATAATGTGCAGTGTTGGTTTATAGATTAATATTTTTTCTATTTTTGATTTTTTTTCTTCTTCAGCCCCCTGAACATATAGAGTATGCTGCTTTGGTGATTGGTGGCTCATTCATTATTGAAGGTGAAGTATCCTTATTGTTTGATCATAATGTTGGATTTACAAAGTGAAGATATCAGTGTCTTTTGCTATGTAGAGTTTTCCTTGTGATTTTAAAGGTGAATTTGTCGTAGGTGCTTCTCTTATTGTTGCTATCCATGCTGTCAGAAAAGGCGCTGCTGCTGAAGGAATGAAAGTGAGAGATTATGTGTGGCGTGGTCATGACCCGACATCTGTTGCTGTCATGACTGAGGTGATAACCTCATGAGTTCAAAAGGTTTAAATTAATTTGGCTGGTATGCTTGATTGGTTCTAACTTCTATGGTGTAATTGTTAATCTATAACGTGGACCTGTATATTATGGTAATTGAAACCACTCAATTTTGGAGTCTTTCACTTTCCTGGATCACGAGTAAGAATCTAGTATGTTAAATTACTTCTAGAAATAAAATAAACTGAATAAGCAAATACTCCGTATCTAGGAAAAGCATAAAATAGAAGGACAAGGAATACTGGAAGGTTCTTCTGAGTTGTTATTTGGCCATGTTTTGCAAATATTGTTGTTGAAAATACAGCAAGGTCCTCGCGATTTGTTAGGTTTATAGTTATTTAAAATTTTGCCTAATGATATTCGTTTAAATGCGTTAAATCACGTTAATGGTGCAGGATGGTGCTGCTGTTACTGGGCTTGCCATTGCTGGTGCATCATTGGTGGCCGTCAATACCACAGGAAATGCAATTTATAATCCTATTGGTTCGATTATTGTTGGAAACCTTTTGGGAATGGTAGGTGATGCGTATACTGGTTTTTCTAATGGACTTCATATGATTTTAATTTTATATTCTTTTGCGAAACATGATGGTATTATCTGCTAGTCTTAAAATTTAAGAATGTATCTTCAGTTTTCCACTTAAAAGAAATAAAAAATAATAATATCAGGAGATACTGAAATATTTTTTTTTTTCTTTTTTT